GCGTGGTAGTTAAAGTTGGACTCCCACATGGCCAACCGCATTTTGAGTCCCAGACCTGGCAGCTTGCTTTCTCACTTTCCCTCTCTCTCTGGTGAGCACATGTGCCTTAAAATGGAATTCAAAAATAAGTTAATTAATTAATTAATTAAATATTTCATAAGAAAAGAAAAAAAAATAAGCTCAAAAAGAAATAGCTTGCTAACTCCTGCTCTAAAAGATCTTTACATCCTGTTTTATTGTTCCTTTGTTAAAAATATTCTTTTTTTAGTATCAGAATTTAGTATACACACACAATTTCCTTTTCTATTACTGTGTTCGTAGGGTATACAAGGTTACAAAGCCCGGGCAAGATCAGAATGGGGAAGGCCTTAAATAATGGGACAATGATATGGACTGCAAACCTCTTACAGAAGGGGAAAGTACAAGTACATTCAAAAGGAGAATACAGAATAAAGCAAATATCCAACAATCAAATACACTAGAACCTTTCCAAAGAAGCTAGCCAACAATGACGGCCAAGCAAAGTGTTCAGATAACCTGCACAACACACCGCAGAATTCACACCTCATCTGCCTTCGCAGCTACCGCTCCCTTCTTGCCCATCTGAACTCTCACCAGTCCACTCACTTTAGACACAGTCTCCTAACTTATAAAGCTTATCTTATAAAGCACGTGTTGGCAAGCTGTTTTCTGAAATGAGCTAGAGAGGGTACATACTTTAAGCATCATGAACCATAAAATTTTTGTCACAGTTTTCTTTTATTTTTGTTACTTAACTTTTAAAATACGAGAAAAGCTCATGGGCTGTACAAAGACACAGAGCATTCTTTTTTTTTTTTTTTTGGAGAGATTTTCACTGTAGGGCGCGTGCGCTCGCCAGACAGACAGAGAGAGACATAGAGACAGAAAGCGAGAAATCACCCCCCAGGGGGGATGGTCACGCCGCAATCCCTTCTCCTCCATTCTCCTCTCGGGATCTTGGGCACGCACGCACACGCGCCTGGCATGAGTTTTAAGCCACCGGGTCCGGGACACGAACCGCAGTCGACTACGTGGGAGTCCAGAGACATAGCCATTATGCTAACTGCTGGTTCCCAAGACACAGAGCATTCTGAATGTGGCCTATGGCCAGTCATTTGCAAAGGTCTGTTCTATGTTTGACACAAATTTTTTTACTTTTTCTTTTGTTATAGGGTGTGTACCTCACCAGAGAGGAGAGAGACAGAAATACAGAGAGAGGGAAAGTGAGAAATCACCTCCTGAGAATGGGGAGGATATAGCAAGGTGCAATACCCTCTCCTCCATTCTCCAATCTCCATTTTCCTCCTGGGATTTTGGGTACACATGCCCCCAGGGGCTTTTCAAGTCACCAGGTCTGGGACTCGAATTACACAGACAGTCATGTGGGATCCAGTGCCTTAACCACCATGCCATCTGGCTGGCCCATTGAAATATATGTATTTTTAATAGCTATTTTATTATTATCATTGTTATTTTTTAATTTGACCAGAGAGAGAGAGGAAACAAGCCACCAGGTACAGGACTCAAACAGTGGTCAACCATGTGGGAGTACGCCTCAACCACTCAGCCACCTCTCGGCCCCCACTGAAATAATCTTCATTCGGTTTTAATCTATTTTATTAAAACTGTCATAGCACTTATTTAGACATCCAAGATATAGCTTTCTTTTTTTGAGAAATATTTTTGCTATAGGGTACCTATGCTTGCTGGAGAGACAGAAAATGAGAAATCACGCCCCAGACAGAAAATGAGAAATCACCTATGCTTGCTGGAGAGACAGAAAATGAGAAATCACTCCTCAGGGGAGATGGCCACATCACAATTTCTTCTCCTTCTGGGATTTTGGGTATGTACCCACACATGCCTGGAGTGAGTTTCTAGCCTCCAGGTCTGGGACTCAAACCTCAGTCGGCCATGTGGGAGTCCAGTGCCTTAACCTTTACGCCCCTCACTGGCCTACAAGACACAGAATTCTATAATAATGTTGATTACCTCATATAAAAACATTTTCAAGATTATTTCAATAGTAATATTATCTACCTCATAGGGTATAAAGCACTCAATAAAGGCTAGTTCTTACACAAAAATATATGGGGATGGTAAAAATATATTAAGTTTAATTTCCTAAGGATGCCTATTTCCAGAACAATTATTTTAGCTACTTCTTTAAATGTTTTTTGGAGTAACCATTATTTTGGTATACTAAAGATGTCTTTCAATGCTCCAGGGATCATAATATTTACTAGGTATTTTCTTTTCTAAGTATTGGGGTTAAATTTGTACTATATTCAATATGCATTTCTTGTTACAGATCAACAGTTGTCAAATTCTGGACTGTAGACTAGTGGCAGCACAATCTAAAGTCCCCTGGAAAATGATAAAAATAAGAACTGTCAGATTATCTGTTATTCTAGAACTGTCTTTCCTATTTTTAAATGTGTGTCCTCTCTTTGGGGCCAGGTGGTGACACAGCTGGATGCATGTGAGAAAGGTCCTGGCTTTGTGTCCAGTCCTGGGACCTCCCTGGGCCTGGTGCAAGTGCACTCAGCACCCAGTCTGACCAACTGAGAGTGGAGTGGGAGGTGGTATGAGGTCCCATCTGTGTGAGAGTGCATATCTGTTTTTCTCTCATGGAAGAAATACATTAAGAAACTTAAAAAAAAAATAGAGTGCCCCATTTTCTATGAAATAATGAACTACGATAGCAGCAAAAATAAAAAGCTGAAGATGCCTGTTGGTGCTTCTATTCTGTAAAATTTTCTTCTACTAATCCCTGAAATGCCCAAGTTAAGGAAAAGAGTATTAGAAGCATTGAGGCCAGCAGGTGGCATGGTGGTTGAGGGTGCTGGACTCCCACACAGCCAACCGTAGTTTGAGTCCTGGACCTGGTGGCTTGCTTTCTCACTTTCTCTCTCCCTGTCAGGTCAAACTGAAATGAATAAATAAATGGATAAAGAAAGTTAAATAAAATAATTTAAAAAGAAACATTATAAGGATTACTAGTTTTATAACTAATAGGAGATTTATTATTTTTTTGAGAGTTGTTTTTTTTTTTTGTTTTGTTTTGTTTTTTGCTATAGAGCACATGCACTCACCAGAAAGACAGAGACAGAGAGACAGAAAGCGAGAAATCACCCCAGGGAGGATGGCCAGGCCACAATCCCTTCTCCATTCTTCTCTCGGATGCACACATATGCACCCCGTGTGAGTTTAAGCCACTGGGTCCAGGACT